AAAATTTTACTATAATAGATAAATAATTTTATTTATAATATTATAAAAATTTTTTATTAATTAATTAAAAAATAAAAGTTTTATTAGTAATATATTTTGTAGTTACTATATAAAATTTTTTTTGCAATTAATTATATATAGAAATGATTTATGTTGTATTTTATCCTTAAACTAATAGAATTGGATCTTGAATTTTTTGTATTAGAGATTTCTGATTTTTCATCAAGTTTTGATTATAATTATTATATTAGAAACTACAATAAAATAGTGAAAAATTTTAAGATTATTTTAAACTTTATTAGAACCACATATAATATTGATTTTTAACAATTTCACAAGATTAAAATTTATGATATACTAGTAAATAGTAAGTTTTATATAACAAACTATTTATTAAATATATTAATTATATATTAATTATATGTTTTTTATATCTGTAGATAACTTTTTTTATGTATACAGTTTATCATTGCTATTGTTTGGGATTTACTATTTTAAACAAGAATTTAAGTTTGAGTATCTTATCATTACCTTTCTTGTTTCCAAGACATTATTAAAATTTATAGCCAACCTATAGAAATTACATATAGGTATTTGACAAATTTGTAAATAATAAATAATACAAACAATTAATTATTTGAACATTATTAGAATGCTATTTCTTCTAGTATCAAAAGTGTTATTTTATATCTTGAGAATACTGAAGAATCAGATAATAATGAAAATGTTGTTGATTTGGTAAAAGTCTTACCAAAAAAGCATAAAAAATGAATAAGTAAAGTGATTTATTATAGATAATAAATTATAATTATCAATTATATATATATATATATATTGATATATATTTTTTTGATATAGTTTTTTTTAGTAATTTATAAAAATAATAAAAAGCTTTACTCACATTAGAGCTTTTATTTTTAATTCTTTTTAGCCAATTGCCAAGCTTTATATTTAATAAGATAATAAATTGTTTATCAGTTTCAATTTATATATTTTGGCTTCTTTTATCAAAACTATCAAATATTAATATTTATTTGTTGCAGTGTTTGAGTTCAGACCTACTGAATAATTAATTATAAGAGCAATGAATTGCAATTTTTTGAACTTAATTACACTGATAGAAAATAAAATTTTGACATGTTGAATAGCATTTGAATAGTGCAATTTGACACATCAAATTTTTTATTTCCTACTAGTAATAATTTATAGGAGGCACAATTCTTATGTAGTTAGATTATGTATCATATATTCTATTCAAATTGCCTTATATCAAAAAAACTCTAAGCTGCTAGCCAAAAAGATATAGGTCTTAGTATATAAAAATTTACTATATATCTAATATTAACAATCATTTTTTATAAATAAAATTTCATTCTGAAAACTTTTACTTAGAAATCAAAAGTTAGTCATCATGGTAAATTTTTGTGTTATTTGCATTTTTTTTATACAATTTTTTATGTTTTTCACTTTGTTTTATTACATAAATTTCTGTGATTTTATTGAATCTATATAGGATCAAAAATGATCTTTAGCGATCTTCAGCTCAGGATTTTCTTAACATAAAGGTATCTGATTGAATAATATAAATTAATGAATGAACAATTCAGTTATCTAAATAAATTATTCAGATTATGTACTAATAATGCAAAGAATACAATTTTATGCAAGAGATGCAAAATTTATATAAGAAATAGAGTTTCAATCAGGCCTACTAAAAAATTAATTGCAATCAATTTTGTCATAATTTTTAATTAATTGCAATTGTATATTCATATGACAAAATTAATTGAAACCAAATTAATGACAAAATAATTGCAATTAATTGCAATTAAATTCAATTTTCTTTAACTAAACTGATACTCTGTAAAGTATCCTGATAATACAGGTTTTATATAATTATACATATAAAATAATACTTTAAAAAATTGATTATCATTTACATTAGTAATGATACCTGATCAAAAAAGTACTATCTGAATATCTGACAGATAATACCTGTAGGTTATCTGAATGATCAACAGATATATTTAGATATAAATCCTATCTGGGTATCTGGGTAGGGTTTATTAAATGTAGTGATCAAAAGATAATTTAACATCTCTAATTAGAGAACATTTGTTAAGATAAATGGTCAAGAATATATATTATCATGCAAGCTCATATGATTATAGATTTTTTTCTTCTTGTTATTTTTTATATGTTATTATATAAGCACAACAATCCTAAATTAAAACTCAGTTAGCCAACTATGACTTGTAAATTATAATCATATTTTCATGATAACATTGATATTGGATCATACGATGATAAAATTATAAAATTTTTTCTGTTAGAGCATATAATTGGCTAAAACATGGCACTATACAACACATGTTAGCCAATTATTTGCTTTGACAAAACAAATTTCATGATATTAATTGTTGCATAACCAATATCTTATAATTAAATACATATGACTTTAAATAATCTCTACTGCTAATTAGCAATTTTATTAAAACTTTTTGTATAATTAAAAGTTTCAATTATCATAAACAACTTTTATTATTTTACACAATTTATTAATTTATTTAATATTAAACATTGCCTTTTAATTTATTGCTAAATTTTTGATAATGTTATTCAATAGTAAATTAAAATATTTATTATTTCCAAGCCTCTTTACAGTATAATCTGTTTCACTTAACAAATAGTAATTATTAACTATTTCAGAAGACAAATAGGTTTTTTTGGAAGTAATTTAGTTTTCCATATTAGAAAAAAGATGTTTACTTAGAATAAAAATAGCTAAAATTGATAGGAATTTTCATGCTATTCTGCTTAAGATTGGAAAGGTACTTTGGTTAGTATTTTATCAGTTATAAACATCTATAGATTTGGGTTTAATTAGCATAATTGACTTATTTAAATAATTATTGATTTCAATTTTATGGTTTATCTGAGTTTGATTATAACTAAATATTTTTTTCATAAATGTAGGTGTAGATGAGGAAGATGCTTCTGCTTCAGCAACTTTAACTAGATTGTTAGCTACAACTATACTCTGCCAAGTCTTAAACTTAGCACGTAACTCCTTAATTGCTCTATCTTGTGTTTTATTTGAAAACATATTCATTGATTTTAATCTCAGAACTAACAAGGTAGCAATTAATCCAATATGTTCAGAGACATGCCAATAATGTTCAAGAGAACTGTAAATAATTCTTCTAATTTTTAAAATTATTTTGTCATTTGAAAGTAGGCTTTCACGATTAGTTATATTTGTATCATCTGAATTTTCCTTACTAAGTTTATCATTAGAAGATGATATTTTATTTTAAATATTAAGAAGTTAATATTTAATATTGCAAATAATAATAATTATATTAAAGAGTACTTCTATTTACAGCATAGATTTTTACTATTCACACCATAATGTATATAGATAATCTCAAAAAAAATGTTTTAATTAGATCATTTATATATATTAATAGTATAAATAGCAAACTATGATGCAAATAGCAGTATCCAAAAATTAGATAAACCCATTTTTATTTCTACCTTCAGGTGTGCTATCATTAATATCTTTAAGTTCATCTGATATAGACATATTGTAATCAAAAAATTCGGTTTTTAATGCTTCAATGGTTGGAATAACAACTGAAAGAGTAGTATAGTAGATTTTACTAAGATATGTTGTTATGTCATCAAATGGTTTAAATGCATTTATTAATTTTTGTAACAACATCCATTCAGTATCTTTTAGCAAAAGATTTTTTGGTTTATTAGTATCCTCTTTAACTCCATTTTTATTTTCTAAATGTAGAGTAGCCAAAAGCTATTCAATTGCTGGATGCAGTATTAAAAGTCTTTGCCAGAATTTGTAAGTAGAGTTCTAATGTGTTTTTACATCACTGATAGTGTGTAAAATTTTAGGTGTTACTTCAAATATTTCTAACTTATTATTGTTATCAGTTTCTATTTCATATAGTGAAATTTCATTCAAATTATTAAAACTATGTAATTGAATGGAAGTTGTGGTGGTTTTACTATGTTAAGCTAATTCTACTTGTGCCTGATCAAGGTGTTGATACTGCTTGAATGATTTAAAAAATTTATCAGTTTGTTGATTCTTTGAGTATATAGTTTTATAACATTCAGGACCTGAATAACTATAAGTTGGAGAGTATGAACTGAGCAGAGAACATATTCTACATCATCCTAGATCCTAATGACCTTCTTCATATTCAATCTGTTGTTCATAACTACACAAATTATTTTTTCACCTAATCCAAATTCATTAATTTTTTGGTCTAGGTATTCTTTAATACTTTCGCTAGTGTGTGAATGATTCATTCTTTTAACAGCTAATATAATATCACAGATCTTAATGTCTTGTGTCAACTAATGGGCAGTTATACTGATATATCCATCATTATTTCAGGATATCTATAGATCTGTAGTGATTGAAGCAGTTTCATATATAGTATGAATTAATTTTTTCAATTCTACTACACTTTTTTGATAAGCTATAGTGAGATCTTTTTTAATATTTTGGTGATTTGGTAGTTTAAACACTGAATCAATTCTATTAATCATTTTCCTATATTCTACTCCATGAATGGTAGTAAATAGCAAAGAGTTAGTGACCAACCACTCAGCAGTAACTCTTCTTAGTTCTGTTTGTACTATTTCCCTATGAGGTGTTATTTTCTAACTATTTTATCAATATGTAACTGATGTTTTTTGTCTGAGTTTTGTTTAAGATCATTTGGCTTTAGAATTCCATGCCTTGCATAAAGATAAAGCTTCATATTTCCAGTTCTGGTATTATACTTGTAATTTGTTCTACATACTTTCTCTTGTCCTTTCCTTAGTATGATTATCTTATATATCATATGTCTATTTTCTATTTGAAAATAATCCTATACATAGCTTTTTACATGGCCTTGTTTGATTACTGGATTGGTAATATCTACTTGGATTTTTTTCACACTTCTTTCTTCTGCAGTCCCAACAATAGTCTTTTTTCTAACTGTAGTGCTATCAAGTTCATTATCATTATCTTGAGGTTTAGCATTAGAATTAGTATAAGAATCAATATCAGGGTTAGTATAAGAGTCAATATAAAGATTAACATAAAGATTAATATCAGAGTTAGCATAAGGATCAATATCAGAGTTAGCATAAGAATCAATATAAGGGCTAGTGCAAAGGATATTATCAGAGCTATACTCATTATTGCTATTCATAATTATTAGAAATAACTAAAAAGGAAGGTTAATTTAGAATTATCTGTATATGCAAAGAATTTAGGCTTTTTTTGTTATAGTGTTTAGTAGTAAGTAGAATTTAATTGTTATATTGAATTTTTTTTTACATGATAAAGAATAAATCCAAAACTTTTTATATAAATTTTGAGACTTTATTAAAAAATGAGTTTTATAAATAGACAGATGATTTTTACAAAAAATATCTATGCAAATATCATTTTATCTTCTATTGCATGCATTTGATAGGCTTTAACAGTTCCCTTCACATACAAGTTATGGACTTTAGTAATATTTATTATATGTATTTTATAAGATTTGATTGCATTCTTCATATGTAATTTAAAAGCAAGCTTTTCTTTGTAAAAACTTCTATTGAATTTCAATAAAGTTAAAGGCATGGCCTCACTATTAAAATTTAAAAAAAAAGATTTGATTGCATTTGATAGGTTTTGATTATCTTTCTTTGTGTGAATTCTATAGGCTTTGGCAATTTCATTGTATGCATTCATGATTTTAGTAATCTTGAGTATATTTGATAAGCATTAACCATTACATGTTTCATAATTTTCTTTTGCTTAATTTAGTAATCAATTTTACATTTAGAATTTTAGCAATTCTGGTAATGGTAAATTGCATTTTACCATTTTTGGCATCATGCTGTTTGTAGATTACTTCTATAAAAAAATAAGTGTTCTTTTTTGTTTGTTTGTTTTTAATACTTAAAGTTCTGTAGTTTTCTCTTAATGTTTTAATATGATAGTAATTTAGAATATTGTTTTGATATGGTAGTAATTTAGAATGCTTAATGCTAAGAAGTTAGTGCACTAAAGCTGATTAAAAAAAAGGTATGTATATCACATCCTTTTATAGAATAATCTGTGCTAAATGATGTTTGCTTTATTAGTATTCTGATTTTAAGCATTAGATTGTACAAAATATGCTTTTGCACACATAGCATTACTGTAAATTAAGACAGTTTTATGTATTGTATATGTTCTTTAAAATGCCAATTTTTTTTTAAATTACTAAAACAATATAGTATAAGTGACAGTGATGCTAAAGGAAAACCAGGTTTCAGACTTTCAAGTTTATTATTAATTATTTATCAGACTTAGCTCTGGTCAGAGACATATTATATGTAAGTAAATTTAGTTATATAACCTATCGAGCTAAGTTTGGCAAATAACAAATAATAAGCCTGAAAGCTCGAAGACTGATTTTTTCTTAGCGTCACCCATATGGTATGTGACTATTTATTTGACATTATATATTATTAGGATAAATAGCTGATGAAAATAGTATAGAGTCTAAAAAGCTTGCCAGCCTGGTTTACTAATCATTTTGAACTAGAAATTATAGTAGATTAGTATGGTATAATTTTAAAATAAGTATGTTCTATGCTATACAAATCTAGTTACCATACTGATCTGCTATAATCACATTTGTTCAATTGGGAATAGGCTTAATATTCAGAAAAAATCTTGTCTCACAAAATCTATTTTAATTTATAGTAATAATTATCAATAGAGTGGTGTGTATGATGTCAAGATTAAAGGAGAAATGGGCTGTGCCTTCTTATTTTGAGAGGGATGATTAAGTGTGTCTTATATTAATGTACAAATCATTTTATTTCAAATAAATTGAATTTATCAAAGTATTATTATAGGTAAGGAACAATTGAAATATTTATGATTGTTCAACTTATAGTTTACTATCATTTCATAGGTCAAATTCTATGTCATTTCAAGTTGCATTATTTAATTTCTGCTACTTTGGCTTGTCTTTCATATTGTCTTCTCATAATCAACATATACTCTTTCAATAGGATATGATTTCAGTTTGGATCTTATTTTGAAGATATGGATTTGAATTATACTTTATAATAACATTTCAAAGTTTATGAATTTTAATTCTATACATTGAACTTGGGTTCTTATATATTTCAAGTTTAGTTTAGAGAATTTGCTGAGTTTGTAATAACCTTTTTTTAAAATAGAAGAACTATATGTACATAGCCATCTTATGAAATTTTAGCAAAGCAAATAAAAACTATATTACTTTGCCAATTGACTTATATAAAAATATTTATAATTGAACATATTTGATTATTCAAACATGATAATAATCAAATATAAAGCAAACTTATCAACTATGAATTACTACTAGTAATATAAAACTGAAGAAAGATATTTTAACTCTATGTAATGTTGGCAAATACAAATATTCAACCTTTTATTATTCAGGTAAGATAACTTTCTTGATTACATGAAATTGAATAACATGTTATAATTGGCTATCCATGCAGCATATGACAACCAACCAATCAAACTATATTATATTTGTAAACTTAATTTTTTATTGTTTCTTACTTTCACAAAAAAATAAGAAAAAAAAAGGTCTACATACATATATTTTTTAAATGCCTATTATATCTTTTACACTAAAATAATATAATATTTAAGAACTTATAGTTTATTATACCAGAACTTGTTATGATAGAACTTATTAGAGTCTGTAGCTAATCTCTAAGTTAATTCCTATATGTGATGCTTCTTCGAAGATAGAGACAGAATTAATTTTTATTTTTTACTTGTAAAATGTTACATTCTTAAAAAACACTTTAAACTGTCTAAATACAATTGTAAATAATTGACCAATCAGAAGAAAGTTATTTTATATAATATTATTCAGATACGTTTATCTAGGTATTTATCCAGATATGTTTATCTGGGTAGATGAGTTTACAATATGGATATCTGATTATCTGCAGATAACCTAGATAATATCCAACTCAGATATCATCACTAAGCTTGAAGCCTGTTAGTGTTAGATGTAGCTGCATAGTTAGCAGATTGAGGTTGGAATAGTTGCTTTTGCTATGCTAAGTTAATACTAAGTTTGGCAATTTGGTTTGTTAGCTATTTAATAGCTTGGTCTGTTTCTGTCATAGTGTTAGCAATTATTACATGTTCAGTTTCCTATTGTTTTGCAAAAGTAATAGCAGCATTTAGATTAGCAGGTTTACTAACTTGCATATTGATAGAGAATTCAGAATATAGTTCTTGAATAAATAGTTATTTGATAAAGTTAACAGGAAAAGCATTACTAGGGTCAACTCATCTTTTTAATTGTTTAAAATGATTAATATAGGCATCTACTGTGTTTGGGCCTTGTTTGATATCAAAAAGCTATTTCTGCCAAATAGCTTTTTGTTTAGATGTGTAAAAGTAAAGCCTAAAAAGATGTTTAAAGCTTCTGTTTTAATTGACATTATCATCAAAAGCATTTGGAGCAAGGTTAAGACTTAACTACCAATTTAATACAATTTCTTTTAAGT